CAATATCATCAGTGCCCCAAGGAAATGTCTACAAGCAAACACCCAAGCTCAGAGAGCACCAAGGACTCCACAGTTCAACCCTGAGCTACAGATATTCTCTTCATTGGATAAACTAGATTGGTACTGCCAATCTCCTGCAGCATTTGTTAATGATGGAGCTCCCTCTTTTATCATTTCCTCCTGCTTCATCCTGTGCCTCTTCTCTGCACCTGTTACCTGTCAACCATGGTACCTTTGAACATGGGTTTAGCACTGTTTCAGAAACGCACTTGACCTGTGTTTATAAATAGCCTGATTGGCAGGTTATAGGCATGGAGAAGAGGTTGCACTGAGCAGGGGCCTCAAACTTTCTCTCCTGCTCCATTCTGGACATTCCTGAGCACCTGTAAGTTAGTCAAGCAAAGTTAAGGCTAAACCTGCTGTACATCTGCCTACATCTATAAACATACAACCTTGCCCCACCTCATATTAGGGAAAGTGGTTTTCCTATCAGCAGAGGGAAGGGGAACAAAGCCTGATATGATCTGAAAAACAGGGATTTGCTGAACATGGATTTAAACTTGTAACTCTGCTTCCTGTAGCTAGCATGACTACCTTTTCACATCTCCACCACCTCTTATCATTGCCAAAATATAGAGAACACGGCTCTTTACACTATGAAGCCTTCAATGCTGGAAAAAAGTACCCATCCATCTTCCCTTGTCATAATGCTGAGTCTCTCCTTCTTTAGATCTTAAGTGGGGAGAAAAGAAACATTGGAAGCAGAAAAATATTGAGGACTTTTATTCAAAACTTGATGTTTTACCCTGAGCGAATGCTGAGGATTGACTCTCAGACTCTGGTCTGAGGGGTGAGCTGTCTTTTAGTACATAAGAGGTCAGCTCTTTGCTTCAAGGAACTTACAGCCTAGTATTCAACAGAAGGAAAAAGAAACGATTCTCATTCCATGGCATATATTGATGAAATATTGCAAAAGAAGCCATTTTAAAAAATATTTTAATTATTTCAAAAACAAACTGACAGACATAAACAAAATTGTATATAAAACACAAGCACATAATTATCATTTCGAAGTGGTAAGATGATTTCTTCCATGGGTAATTCATACTCATAATGTAACATATATAGTTATATTGATCTAACCTCCTAGAGCAGTGTTTCTCAACCTTGGGCACTTGAAGATGTGTGGACTTCAATTCCCAGAATTCCCCCCCCCCCCACCCGCGGCCGCGGG